ACACACACACACACACACACACACACACACACACACACACACACACACACACACACACACCACTCTAACACATACGCACAAGCACATTGCGCTACGACGGTTTCTTATCCTTGCCTCTCTTTGAACGCCGCACACCACATTCCCCCTTCTGGTTTCCTGCTTCCCTCTTCGGACTGCACCTTCCCTCACTCACATTATGAAAGGCACGCTCCATTTGTTCCGGCTGCGGTGATGGCAACGTTTTTCCTTCGCTGTTCGACATTTCTCCCTGCTCACCTGATTGTTCGATCAAGTCGATCACATGGTTGCCTTTATCATCTGATTCGTCACGACAGGAAGCTTCCTTTCCCATTCCATCCTCCTCGTCCATGCCCATGACCTGTTCGATCATCGCTAGCGCCTCGGCCTTCGACACATCGTGACCCCCTTCATTCCCGGCTGTTGTACAAACTCCATCTGGACCACCACCATCTTCCATCTCCATTGTGTCAGTAGCTATCTGCGAGCCGGAACCGGTGCATTCCATGTGTGGATGTGTGGCCCCCCTCCCTGTGTCATGCAAGATTGCCTTCTGACATACTGTTGCAGGTCCTGCATTGTTGTCCATTGCACTGCAATTCACAAGTGGCAAAGTCTCTTCGTTGGCAGAGCGGTTGGTGTCTTCGGTTTTGTCACGCAACTTGGCCGACAATATGTCATCCGTCTGCGCATCTTCGCGGGTCACTGCGACATTCCCATGACTCTGCGTACCTGCCGTTTTGTCTTTTCCGGCTGCTGTTGTTTGCATTGCATTCTGTTGTGAGAGTCCCTGAGGTTGTGCAGTGCTATGCACGACGTCGTCGGTTGCTGCCTCCTCCTTCCTCCGTTCCGCTCTTTCCTTCACAGATTCCCTGCCGCACTCCGATCCGTCTACCTTTCCCCCTGGCATGGCACTGACGCCCTTTGGAAGCACGACTTTTTGCAAGTCATTAAGTGACGTTGTGCAAGTAGCCTCTTCTTCAGGTTCATCATTCCTCCTCTTAAGCCCTTCCTTGCGAGCAATACTGTACTTACTGGGTCCTCCGCTTGTCCCATCTAGATTCTTTTTATGTATGACGTTCTCTTCCAAGGGTTGACTGCACGACACCAATATGTTACTGTCGTAGAGATGTTCCGTGTCACGACACTCCATCGTCCATTTGATCAGTCCCCTTGAAGGGCTTGATTTTCTTTCGTACAACGCTGCACAGTACTCTAGATAATCGTTTTCAAACAGTGATTCGAAGAGGGAGTTCACCTTTTCGCTGATAATTTCCTCTCCTGCACCCCTGTTTGCCTGGACCACACGCAACAACAACTGCTGCTTCGCAATGTCAAGGAACTTAGTCCTGTTGAGTCTTTTCTTGATTATCCAGTTCCCTCCCACTCGGACAGCCATGTGCCATTTGCCGTCAACCACACATGGCTCGAACAGGCCCGGATGCCATATGATGTGATGACCCCATTTGTAAGCCTCAGTCTCTATGAACTTTGTGTCCAAAAAGTGAGGTCCTCCTTTGCTCTCCTTCATGTGACTTTCGATTTCATCTCAGGACTCAGAGTTTTTTCCTCATCGTCAGGCATGCGAAACAATGGATCGTCCTCCAGATCCATGGCATCCTCCCCGGGCCCCACGCCAGCAGGTCCACAAACTGTTTGGATCTCTGTTTCCATTGCCATGACATTCGAGATCATATTCCTCATGAGCGTAGGAAAGCCTCGGGTGGCGCGGTTGTCCACCCATTTCGAAGTGCTTGCCTTTGTACCATCTCCCACAGACGACGCAGGCGGTTTTGAGACTCGGCCGTTCTTGCATCTCGCCGTAGTCGCTCCCCTCGCTTCACCCACCCCCGCTTCACCCTCCGCCGAGGACTCCGCACGCATGTCATCGTCGCTTGCTTCATACCTTGCGTCAGGCGAAGGCAGGTCATTTTAGTCATCCTCAATATCCTCCTCACTGTCCATCAAATCGAAACGGTCTTCAGGCTCCAAGGCTTCGTTATAAGTCTTTGCATCAATGCGGTCCATTTTTCTGTCGAACCACAAGTTTTCACAACGTGCCAAGAAAATCTCGATTGCACCAATTTTGGCATCGTGGTATCGCTGGAGATGTCGGAGAGCGATGACTTTGCGTGCAACATAATCTGTCTCTGTCCGCTTATCCGGAGTATTGCAGAACAAGTACTTCCACAAAGACTCTCTCTTCTTTCCCAGTTTCAGAAACATATCTCGGTCCGGGCGATGCTGAGTCTTCGGCCTCTCGAAGTGACAACAGCTATCGGGACTGTTAACGAGACGATCAATAAACGCGGAACAGTACTCGAGCATGGTGAAGGAACCTTCGCATGCCACAACATGACAGTTAGACCAAAGTAAGTACCAAACTAAGCCAGCTTGGACGTTGCCCAGAAGGAGCACACCCTCCCCTTCCTTCGAAAACCATGAACACAACTCTTTGATCTTCGCCGGCTCTCTCCCCCAAGCACCATAAACAGCTCTGTCTCCGTCGTCCACGCCGATGTGTTGCTGTGTGCACCTCACAAACATCTCCTCCTCAAAGTTTGTATCGAAGAGCTTATTGTCACGCTTGGATGGGACCATGACTTTTTTGAAGTCATTGCCTGCGTCGTGCAACACAATTGTCATGGAGTCCCGACTCCTCAATGGAAGATTTCCAAGCGGGACACACGAGGATGACTGAGTACCGTGATGCCGCCTCCAGCGGCTCGGGAGAACCTTCACATCCCCCCACCTGAAGATGCTCCTCAAAATTGAGTCCTCGGATTTCAGCCCGCAGAAAATAACGAGTGCCCAATGTGTCCCGCATAGAACCTTCATCAAATGCTGAAGCTCGACAAACCGTTGGTCCGTCCATAAATCAAGACTCTTGCTGGGACCCAAATCCAGCACCGCAAGGTGGCAACTCAACTTCTTCACGGCACGAGTGAAGTCCTCTGTTGGCTGGAGCCCATCCAAAGGCCCCATGCAGACAGGGAGATATGTCGTATTACACTTCCTCTTATCCCTGAGTATGTGCAGCGCGTTTGCGCTGACGCGTTGAAGCTCGTCCTTCAATTGGTTGACTGATCCCACTATCTCATGCAGGAACAGTTTGAGAAAGTAAGGACACTCCATGTGCATCTCAGTCGTCACCTTGTACCCCCCCACATTCTCGTCTCCCAACTTCCCCTCATCGACACCGCCCAAGCGTTTCGACACATTGTTCAATCTCTCAACCGGGAGTTTTGTCTTCTTCTTCTCCCACTTTTCCTTTGTCAACCCGTTCAGTCCAAATTTCCCCATTATATCATCGTACCCGATGAAGAATCCGTCTTTCCATTTGCGTCGTTCCCTGTGCTCCGACTTGAAGAGCACGTAGTTAAACATGTGCACCATTTATCTCTCCCTGCGCACTTCCGTGTAAAGGTCGTTCATGTTCATGAGTTTCTACACAAATGTCCTGCCAGTGGTGACGACCACCTTCCCAGCCAAACTCAAATCCAACGCCATCTCCTTCTCCCTCGCAGTGAAATCCCCAAACACTTTCCAAACGCTCGGTGGAGGATCGTGAACACAGACGTAATACCCATTCGGACTTTTGTTCGATTGGACGTAGTGCACCAGTTCCTTTTTCCGTTTGACTGTCTTCGCTGCCGGACCTGGACCGGAGGCCTCGCCCGGTCTCCCTTCCTGGTCAACTGGCCGGACTCCATCCTGGGCAGGCAACTCCCCTCTTTCCCACATGTCGAAGAACCGGTTCACCAAAGCCCACACAACGTTGCCAGTCGTCGCGAGGCACATGAATGACCTCAAAAGGTTGGACCAATTACGAAAAAAATTGTTGCTTAGCGACTCGTTTTAGAGCTCTGTGTCCGGAGTCATCCTTGTTGCTTTGCGCAGGAATGCGTGATAGTTCTGTTGCTGCTCCAGTTTGTCATCTTTTGTTTTTGCCAGATGCCAGTCACCCTTCGGGCACTTCATGTGATGCCACAACCCTCTTACTGCGGTGACAGCCATTCGGAAAGACGACGGGATAAAGCGAGTCTCCCTCGTGTTGTTAAATGTGGATATGTAAGCATACCCATCGAGGTGGTCATCATCGAAGTAGACCGCACGCGCTTTCCGTGAATGCACACCCCATTTCCTGGCAGCCGGCGAGTTCGTTGTCGCCAACCTCTTCGCAGCTTCCGCCGTGTGCTCGCCTACAACGGCGTACCAATGGTACGAATCTACATCTTCGTCTTTCCAATCGGCAGGTTTCAAACGTTCCCACTTTTTCTGGCCGCCTCTAACGACTTCTACAACTGGAGCGAGAATGAATGTGTTTTTGTCCCACTCTTTCTGTTTCTCCGGTCGTTCCATAGCGTCCTTGATAGAGACGACCAACATCTCGTTCAGCGGTCTGTGATTGTACTAGCAATCACCGTCATCAGGGTTAGGCAAGATCTTGAGGACGTCGACGAACACCTGGGCAGGCCGGTCAATAGCATTCCCATCCCCGTCGTACTCCAAGAAAAAACATCTTGTCGTGTCAATATTATCGGAAACCAGCCGCTCCGGTTTCGCAGTATTATCTCTCGGAACAACCCCCACCACCTCGTCACCAAAGTCTGCCACTTCCTTCGGGCCGTCCACCTTCGGTTTCTTCTTCTGCCTTTGTGACGAGCGTGGACGTTCGCGTTTTTCCGTGGTCGGCTTCACCGATTGTGTTTCGAGCGCTTTCTTGTACGCCTCCTGCGATGCTGCCAAACCAATTAACTTGGACTGCCTCCGGGTCTTTTCGTCGTCTTGCCGTCGAGATGTCGTTTTTCTCTCGCGCGAGCATACTGATCTCTGCGTATCAACGAGGACGTCCTCGTGTCCAGATGCGACGGTTGCACTGCCGGTGCGTCTCCGATACTCACCGCCACCCCCTCCGCACTCATTGTCACCGTCCATTTCCCCTTCGCTCCCCCCTTCGTAGCTCCCTTCCTCATCGTCACCCCCCCCTTCAGTGTCGTCCTCGACTTCGAGGTCATCCTCATCGCCGCAGGCATCTTCATCGATGACATCTAGGCGATCCTGACCTTCACTGCGTTCTTCGGTTTCATCCTCGTCACGGCCAACATTGTCGTCCGTGGATCTCTCAACCACGCGTTGTCCAGGGGTGATGTCATCCTCTGTCTTTTCCGAATCCCCAGGGCGCTCGCCTCCACCGTCCTCACGCGAACACGAAGTTTCCGTCGGACCTTCCTCCCGTGGTCGACCCGGAGCACTGCTTGTTGGCACCATTTTCGATCGCGAATGCGAGGGAAGAGTGGGTTTCAACACAGGCCCAGACTTGCCAACCGGTCCCTCCTGCCCGGTTTGTCTTGTTGAACTGTCGAGTTTGGTTTTCGTCGCCCCTCCAACATGTGGCGAGCCAACAGAGATAGCACTGTGCAAAATAGCCTGGCCCAACGTCTGCAACCTGTACGATCGAAGCTTCGAATCGAACTTGTCGACAAGAATATCGAACGGTATAAGAGGTGTGGATAACGCCAGCTTGCTGTCCACCGTGCACACGTGGGTAGCCACCTTATGGCAGTTAATTTTCTTAAGAAACTCTGGAGGCCGAAGCATAACGACCTGAGACCCGTCTTTCTTTCGCGACTTGTCGAACGGAGGCATGGTAGCGGCGCGCATACCGTACCCCACGAACTTGTGCAAATGCAGGGACACCTGTTTGTAGTTGTCAGGTTCCTCGTTGCCATCAGCATCGAAACAAGTGGTGAGGTGGAATCTCATCTACTCCTTATGCACCTCAAGCTTGTCGAAGGCGTAATTCTTTATTCCGCCGTAGGGGTAGAAATCCCCTTTAGAACAGCGATTTCGTCAAAACGGACATTTTATATTTTTTGAACGAAATTTAAATTGTCATTTCCGTGGTGATTTAGGGTCAAAAATGCATTTGAATTTGGGGTATGGGTATACATGCAAGGGTAAGGGGTAAGGGGTAAGGGGTTTGGGGGTAAGGGATAAGGGGTAAAGGGGAGGAACTTCGAGCAATGGTTGTCATCTTCTATACACTGTTTCCATGACAAACAATTTAATGTTACCCACATCCATCCGCATGTAATCACAATATCCAGCAACAGGTTCATACTACTCGCAAGCCACTGTGTCCAAATCCATTCGACGACGTATTGCGGGTATGTCATCAGCAGTGAAAGAGAAAGGCGGAAGGTGACCCCTAGCCAATAGCGATGCGTATGCGAGCATGAAGACCCCACACGAGCTAGTGTCACGTTGTTTCGGGACGCCCTCTACGGTCCATATGTGATTAAACGGTTTCGTGTCCACCTCTTTGCCTTATTGAATCGATCTTTTAAACAAAAACTTTGCAAATCCGCCGGTCACTTTGGCTGCCAGTTCTTTGTCGGAGTCGAGGGAGTCGAAAATTCAAATTTCCTCCTCCTGAAGTCAGCCACAACGAGGGTCCAGTGGTTCGTGTATGCGATATGGAAAGGGGCAATTATCAAGTCCATGTCACTTATTATAATGTTATTCGACCAGTGCTGCACCTCTCGCTCTTGATATCTCATTTCGCTATCGAAAAGTCTGGCGAAGAAAAACGAGCTCAACACTGATATTCTAGGAATGCGACCCTTTCCGATTTTAATCACGGTTTCGTTCGCAGCGTCGCATTCTACGTGCGTGATTCTACATCAGTTGTCTAGTGCGATGGGGTTCAGGTAGAAGTTGACGACGTTGTCATTTAACCAGTTCCGCTCATCGACTAGTAAAATAAATTCATCTCGAGTTAGCTTCAGTATTTCGTTCGTCCGATGATTGTGTGTGCTCGCTATTGGGAACCTTTTCCCGTACTCCCGACATACATGTGAGAGTGCTTTCATCTCCTTCTCTGATAAAGACGATGTTGCGAGGCGCATTGTCCACCCTCTTTTGCACTTTCTTGTATCCGTTGTTGTAATTTGCACTGCACACGACAAACACGACGAATACGACATCGACGGCAGTGTAAACAACGGTGACCGAGGCGGACAGGGGTATAAAAAATGGTCGCCCTTATAGGAAAGTAAGAAACCGGTGGGCAGGCGGTGTAAAAAACGGGGAGGGCGACCATTTGAGATACTTGTACATGGGCAAGTGCCTTAGCATAACATGCTAAACGGAAATGATGTATTCAAGATACGTCATCAATGTTTCGCTAAACTTACACTTAGATGAACGACAACACTTCGGGACCAATCAATCCTGATTCCTGCCCCCTTTCATCACCGTACCCCAACGGCATACATGCATATACACAACGCAGCATATTGACGAATATAGAGAGACACACACGCATACAACGACACACTATTGTTCACCCCACAATTTTCTTGTCAACAATTAAAAGGCCAAATCCCGAAAATTGAACACTAATGAGTCTGCAGGTCGATTGTACACAGGAATAAATTCCGCCCACAAACCCAGATTTCAAACAAATGAGCACACACACGAAAACATTAAATTTCCCCGTGAAGAGGATTCCCCTCAAGTTCATTCCCTGTCTCACCCTCATTTTCTGCACACGTGGGATCGCTCACGCCCTTTCCGCCTTCTACCCCATCCTCATCGTCCGTCGTCATGTCCTCAACATTGCGAGAACGTGGAGACCCCTCTGCATTTCCCCCATTCCCATCATCCCCTGTGACCCCTCCCTGTGGTGTTGTTGTACAGTGTGCGTCACCTTTGCTAGTGCATGTGGGCGGATGCAACGACATCCCCGTGACGCCCATCCCAGCAGTGGACTCTGACACCATCTCCAATGTGTCTGCCAGTGCCACACCTGTCACAAGGAGACTCCCGTATGTGGCGCCCGCATCCGCCGGCTTGTCGAGTGACACTTTTTCACCTTGTGATGTATCCCCCGTTGCGATAGAGATGGCTCCGATGGTGTTTTTGCCTGCGGGTGTGTTCCCCACCTCTGGCAACGGAGGCTTCACGCCAAACGTCGTCCCGCCATCTTCCCTTTGTTCACCCATCGTGTTCCCTGTGGCCACCTCGGGCACAGAGGCGGCATCTTCTCGGGAGTCTACGTCCATGCTCTCGAGCGCGGCAGCTCGCTCAACCTTTCAGTCAATCTTGCCGTACGAGGGGCTCGATTGCAGCTCGTAAAACTTGTGTGAGTACTCTAACTGTCGAGTGGCTCCCAAGACGTCGAACAATTGTTTCGCCTTTGCCGCGATGGATGTTTCACTCTCCCCGGGGTTCTCTTTCCGACAGCGGTATAGTATTGATTGCTCCGTCGTCTTCAGCCAGTTGTCATTTCCCATGCGGGGAAACGGTCTCCAACCCTTCGAGACGTACTTCACCGCCATTTTCCACTCCCCGCCTTGGATACATGGCTCAAAAATGTTGTCATGCCAAATGATATCATGGCCCCACTTGTCCTCACTAGTGCAGGCATATTTGTCATCGAAGAAATACACATTGTTTGCATCCGCACAAAATCTGGGAGGAATCGGATCGCCTGGCGCCAGCTTCATTGGCTGAGCAGGAATATCAAGGTCATCGTCTTCGTCGTCTTCCACAGGCGTACATACAACCCGGTCCACACCCGAGGCCACACTGTTCGCGGGTGGCAGGTTCGAGCATCCCTCTGACCCGGTCCATATCCCTTGACGCTGTGCTCCATGGCAGCGGACTTCCCACACCACCCGGTTGCATTGGTGTCCTTTTCCATCTCGAGGTCGGAGTCCGACGAGTCTTCCTCGTTGTCAACGGGGTTAAAGCCTTCACCCGATTTATCGAGGTTTGCATAGTCCTTAAACGTCAGTTTATCTTTGTGAAGATCAAACCTCAAGATCTCGCATCGAGCAACGAATATCTCGAAGGCGCCAGTTAGAGCACCGTGATAATGTTTGAGGGCCTCGGTCACCTTGGCTTTCCTATATATGTATCCCCCATCAAGGCGTTCATCCGGCGCATCGCGGAATATGTATTCCCACAACTTCAGTCTTTTCGGTCCCAACTTGTGGTACATATCCCTGTTTTTGCGATGTGTGGCACGCGGCTTCTCGAGGCGGCACTCGAATCTCCCATCCTTAATAAGTATGTCGACGAACTTTGTCAAGTATGCAATGTCCTTGGCCGACTCGTCACAGGCAGTGACATTATTACTTGCAAGCAATAACTTCCATACAAGACCCGTGTGCGCCCTACCCAACAAAAGCACACCTTCCGCCTCTCCTACGAATGAACCGCACAACTTCCGCAACTTGTCAGGTTCTCGCTCCCAAATTGAATATGCGGCACTTTCGTCGCCCTCGACGCCACCGTGTTTTCCGAGACACTTCCCGAACTTTTCCTCCACAACACGCACTTCGGTGAGATCGTTGTGAAGTCGGGGTGCGACAGTTACTTTTTTCAGATCCCCTCCTTCAGCGTGCAGCACGATCGCCATCAGGTCCCGACTGCTCATAGCGATGTTGTCGTACCTTGTGACGTCACTCGGCGGCCTGTCCACACGTTTCCATGATCCGGGGATGAGCTCGATGTCCTCCCAGCGGTACAATTGACGCAAGACGTCGCTTTGCACATTCTGCGGTACAAAGAAGAAGAGGACCCAATTTGGACCACAACACTTTGTCATCATTGCGTACAGTGCATCGAAGTCCTGCAAGGTCCATGCACTGCTAAAATTCGCGGCCGAGATGTCCACGATGGTGGCCCTGCATGCCATTTTTTGTGCGGTTGCGACGATGTCGACGGCGCCGCCATAACCTCCTTTGACCGCATGCATACAGGAAGCAATGTGGTCTGCCTGCTGAGTTTGTCCCACACAAGATGGCGTGCACTGGAGGCGATCCGTTTCACCTCCGCTCGAAGCATATCGAGCTTATCGATCGTGGTGTAATCAATCAATCAATCAATTAATCAATCGGAAAAGAAAAAGAAAAAAAAGGGGAAACTGCTCCTGGGTCACACTTTTAGTTCAAAAAGGCAAAACAACACTAAATGGAAATGTCCTCGTCGTCGAAGTTCAAAACGGCAAAAAAAAAACTTAATGGCAACATCCTCGTCGTCCAAGTTCAAATCGGCAAAAAAAACATCACTTTTTTTTTTTTTTTTTTTTTT